TAAAACTGTCACCTGCAATACTGGCAACTCATATGGGCACTGTCTCATGTCCCGGCTGCTCTATTTCCAATCCAGCTCCCTGCTAATGGCTGGCAAAAAGCAGTGGAAGATGGCCCAAGTATCTGGGCCTTTGCCACCCACTTGGGAGACCTGGATATAGCTCCTGGCTCCTTAGTCTAGCCTAGCACCAGCCTTTGCAACCATCTAGGGAATGAACAAGCAGATGTAAGATATCTCCCTCTATCTCGCTCTCTCTCTAACTCTAAGTAAATAAATCATTTTTAGAAGAGTAAAAGTACATAAATTTCATAAGAAAATGGTCAAGCCTTAGATTTTCTATATAAACTCACAGTATTATCACAGTTCTAAGTATTTCAGAGCTGCTCAATAAGGGCTGCTTTAAATTTTGATATACAGATGAAATCGTCATAGATCTATAAACATGAGGCCCCTTTCTCTTCCTGAGTCTGATCCTGTAGTCTCAATAAAGCTTAATTATTCACATATTAAAATATTATAACTTTGTCATAAAATTGAATACGTTAACTGTTTATTTACTTAGAACGATGCTATGGTACTGTGTTCAATTTAACTGAAGTTCAGATTCCTAGACAAAACTTTTACTTTGAATTTGAAATTCTAATAAGTCTTCTTCAGGGAGTCTTCAACTATTCCCATACCTTTAGAGTTACATATGCATTTTAAGTAAACTTTCATTGAATACAGAAGGCTTACTTTTTTTTTTAACTTTTATTTAATGAATATAAATTTCCAAAGTACAGCTTATGGATTACAATGGCTTCCCACCCCCCCTATAACTTCACTCCCACCCGCAACCCTCCCCTTTCCTGCTCCCTCTCCCCTTCCATTCACATCAAGATTCATTTTCAATTCTCTTTATATACAGATCAGTTTAGCATACATTAAGTAAAGATTTCAACAGTTTGCACCCACATAGAAACACAAAGTAAAAAATACTGTTTGAGTACTAGTTATAGCATTAAATCACAATGTACAGCACATTAAGGACAGAGATCCTACATGAGGAGTAAGTGCACAGTGACTCCTGTTGTTGACTTAACAAATTGACACTCTTGTTTATGGCATCAGTAATCACCCTAGGCTCTTGTCATGAGCTGCCAAGGCTATGGAAGCCCCCTGAGTTCACTGACTCTGATCATATTTAGACAAGGTCAAAGTGGAAGTTCTCTCCTCCCTTCAGAGAAAGGTACCTCCTTCTTTGATGACCTGTTCTTTCCACTGGGATCTCACTCGCGGAAATCTTTCATTTATCTTTTTATTTTTTTTTTTTTCCCAGAGTGTCTTGGCTTTCCATGCCTGAAATACTCTCATGGGCTTTTCAGCCGGATCTGCATGCCTTAAGGGCTGATTCTGAGGCCAGAGTGCTGTTTAGGACAGCTGCCATTCTATGAGTCTGCTGTGTATCTCGCTTCCCATGTTGGATCGTTCTCTCCCTTTTTTTATTCTATCAGTTATTATTTGCAGACACTAGTCTTGATTATGTGATCCCTTTGGTTCTTAGTCCTATCATTATGATCAATTGTGAACAAAAATTGATATCTTGCACTCCTTTATGTTTCAATGAACTAAATGAGGTCTAATTTTGCTCAGAATTTTTAAGCATGTTTTCTCTGACATTCAAGGTATAGTTGTAAATGTATGCAACATAATGCTTTTGAGTTAGTTTCTGAGAGGTAATACAGTATCATCAAAAGTATTTTCTCTGGGTTTGTTTGCTCATCTGTAAGACAACAGAGATGGGTTGCAGAATCTGTCAGCTTCCTTATGAGTCCAAGAAATTATTCTTTGATTCAATGGTGGGTAACAGATTTGCTCTTCCTTCAGGTAGTCAAATGGTGATCAACATTCTCCATTAAATTGCTGTAGTGGTCTAGCCTATTATTTAGGCAGAAAAGTGGGACTGATTAGCCTATAGAAAATTTAATAACTTTGACCTTACCAAACGAAATAAACAGACTTAATTTTTCATAAACTTGTAACAGAACCTACTGGAAAGGTAATCTGTATCTACAAATTTAGTAATTTATTTCAAATAAATTTAGTATCAAGTAACATGGGGTCCATTGGGAGAAAATAACTCTTCAATTTTATAAAACCTTTTTAAGGTCTTTCATTACTGAATATATAATGGCAAACTTTTATTTATTTTAAAAAATATTTATTTATTTATTAGAAAGGCAGAGTTACAGAGAAGCAGAGGCAGAGTGTGTCTTCTATCCACTGGCTCACTCCCCAGATGGCCACAATGGCCAGGGCTGCGCAGATCTGAAGCCAGAAACCAGGAGCTTCTTCCAGGTCTCCCATGTGGGTGCAGAGGCCCAAGGCCCTGGGGCATCTTCCACTGCTTTTCCAGGCCATAGCAGAGCTGGATCAGAAGTGGAGCAGCGGGACTCGAATTGGCACCCTATATGGGATGCCAGCACTGCAGGCAGCGGCTTTACCTACTACGCCACAGCGCTGGCCCTGCAAACTTTTCAAAAAAAAATTTTTTTAATAGTACCTTGGAACAAGAATCTGTTACTTCATAAATGGATTATCCCTAAATATCCATAGTTCTTTGGTAGATAGTTTCAATGTAACTTATCCATAAAAGTAAACATTTACTATAAAGACCAACCTTCTCTTATTCTACCATCCTAAAATTTTAAATGTTCCAAACATTTAACTTTGGATGCATTGTACTATGTTTTGTGGGTTTGTTTATTTTTTTAAAAGATTTATTTATTTATTTATTTATTTGACAGGTAGAGTTACAGATAGAGAGAGAGAGAGACAGAGAGAAAGGTCTTCCCTCCATCGGTTCATCCCCCAAATGGCTGCCACATCCAGTGCCGCGCCAATCCGAAGCCAGGAGCCAATTGCTTCTTCCTGGTCTCCCATACGGGTGCAAGAGCCCAAGCACTTGGGCCATCCTCCACTGCCTTCCCGGGCCACAGCAGAGAGCTGGACCGGAAGAGGAACAACGGGGACTAGAATCCAGTGCCCATATGGGATGCCGACGCCGCAGGCAGAGGATTGACCAAGTGAGCCATGGCACCGGATCCAAACTTAATAATGATAGAAGGTGGTGACTGAGAAGTACTCTGGGTAGCAGGTGGAAGCCAAGTTTGATCAAAATTTTGCTGAGTAATCTCAAAAACGAGAAATCTATCTACATAGTTGAGAGTTCACAGTACCATAATAATTGTATATTAATGTCACACTAATGTTTTAGGAAAGGTCCTCTTCAAATCCATGGAGATTCTCGGTGTTTTTTGAGCCTTCAAAAATATTTTTAATTTCAGAAAAATTGTGACTTGAAGTTTGTATTTCTCAGTCTTTGTTTTATGGCACAGAAAGTACTAACGCTAGAGACTCCAAAAGAAATGAAAGGACGGGTTTACTCAAACAGCAGACAACTAAAAAGCCATACAATCCCTCAAATCCTCTGTTCTCTACTTTTCTGCAAGTATGCATAATCTATATTACACTTAGCAGAAGCTTTAGCCAGCAGTGTCAATTGTAATAACATCTCTGACTGCAGCTAATAGCATTTTATATCAATTGTGTGGTTTTAAATCAAAGGACATTTTAGTCTTTCTAACTTGCAAGGGAGCCTCAAGATTATGTAGTCCAATGTCCTCATTCTCAGATGAGCAAAGAGGTGAGAGGTTACAATGTACCTAAAATGACAACTTTTGGCACAGCCAGCACAAGAAGCAGCTTCTTGACTCCCAGTCCTGTGCTTTCTATCATACTGTAAGTTTTAAGTTTTTTGGTTCTTTATAGTCATTTGTCTAGTATTTATCTTAGTTATGGTGATTCCCTGCACTTTAATCAGAAAAAAATTTAATAGTGTATCTATCACAAGTTATCACATGAACTTTAAAGCTATATATTTAAGCCATTATGCTCACCTAATTTGTAAAACTAATTTTATAAGCACATAAATTACAATAAATGCTTCATTACAACTGTGAGAGGGGATCCTTAAAAAAATAATAGCAAGTCCTACTGGTATAAGTTTCTTTTGGTTTAGTCTTCTTAATTAAACCAGTAAAAACTTGACATTGAACAAGATTATTTTGTCACTTTCTACTTATGTTACAGAGGGAAAAGAGTTAACATATCCACTTTATCCTTTTAGGATAAAAGTAGTTTCTCCAACTAAAATAGATCAATGGATCCAATGTTTTTCAGGTAATTACTCAGCTTTTTACTTCACAAAGCACAATACATTTCTTTTAAAAAAAATTTGGTTCCCTGAATTATGAAGGTAAAGATGACTTGGGGCCGGCACTGTGGCACAGTGGGTTAAAGGCCAAGCCTGCAGCGCTGGCATCCCATCTGTGCACCGGTTTGAGTCTCAGATGCTCCTCCTCCGATCCAGCTCTCCGCTATGGCCCGGGAAAGCAGAAGATGGCCCAAGTCCTTGGGCCCCCGCACCTGCGTGGGAGACGTGAAAGATCCTGGCTTTGGATGAGCTCAGCTCTGGCCATTGCAGTCATCTGGGGAGTGCACCAGTGGATGGAAGACCTCTCTCTCTCTCTCTCTCTCTCTGGCTCTACCTCTCTTAACTCCTTCAATAAATAAAAATAAATTTTTTTTAAAAAGATGATGACTCTCATGTAAAAACTTTTTAAAGTTGTTAATGTTTCATTTTTTTTTTATTCTCAGGAACATCAAGCTAACTACCTTTATGGTTTTTGTCAAAGTTTTCAAATTTCATTTCTTCCCCATGATTCCAAATCCATTTGGAATTCAAAGACCAAAACTGTGAATTCTAACTACATACTGAAGACTGGGGAAAATCTATTAAGTATAATAAACTACAATTAGGATTTGGACCCCAATCAAATGTATACACCATAAAAATTCCTGTGTAGGTATATTCTATGGATGTAGGAAATTCATTAATTTATATTATTCTGCAAATGTATTATGCATTTATTTGACTTAATTACATGTCAGAGGCTGGATTTGGGGTGTTTTTAAAGTATTGAAAGTTTAGTGTTTATTTTTGTAATCCAACAACTTTATCCAAAAATGCAGAAAATTTTTCTGACTGGCCAGGAGGATAACATTTCAATGTTGATAAGTCCATTGACTGTAACAGCCCAGGAAGTGTGCTGCAAGTACAGTAGAAGAGATATCCGTCTTTGTGCAGTTGCTTTGCCAATTCCAGCTGATGATTGTTCATCAACTTTTCATTTATAACTACTACAAGTGGCTTTCCTTTTTCCAGAGTCTCCAAACAGCTTCCTGCACCTGCGTGACTAATAACAAGATCTGCCTTCTGAAGGTCTTCTTTCAAGGAATCCTTGTACCTGTACACATCCAGAGTAAAGGACTCAGTACTGAACGGTTCAGGTGCTACCGTTCCTCTACCGATTTGGAGAATAAGTCGGTCGTAACCAAGGCTCTTGATTATTTGCAGGCTGTCGTGTGCCGAGAGGCACGCAATGAGGTCGTCGAAGCTGGTGGTCCCTACGGTAACGAACACGCACTCTACTTTTAATGAGATAATATGTCAATAACATATCATGCCATAAAGCTACATGTGAAAGTCACCCTTAAAAACTAACTTTCAGATTCTGGCTTCACACAATATACACTCAGGACTGTGAACATGATGGGACTCTGTCTTTAAGACAGAGATTCTGCACATGAAAAGAAAATCTTCTGTTATCTTTAAAGGTGAGAAGGAATACATGCAAGAATTGTGATTTCAATGCTGCTGAATAGAGTAGGAATCTGACACTGCGATTTGAGCTTGGAGGAGGACTCCAAGTACAGGTAACAATGGAATCCAGCTGACACCCTGATTCTAGGCTTGGGAAACTGGGCAAAGAACTCAGACACACCATTCCTAGACTTCCGGTGTGCAGAATTATGAGCTAATAAACAGATGTCGTTTGAGCTGCTAATTCTGCGGCAACAGAAAATGAATATGTAACTCTGTATACAACTCTTCTTGCATATCACCCCAAAAAGTCACAGTCTCAGAAACCCAGGAAAGTCCCCTTGTTACTGTTTTAATAATGAGAATAAGCCAAGTGTTTCAGCTCTGCTATAACCATGCCTTATGCCTCTTGAATTTCCAATGCAATTATTCCCAATCCCATGTAGTTCACTTCACCATCCAGGAGCACATTTGTCATTTCTGCAGACAGGAGGATGCTATTACAGATGGAAGCGCACTGCTGAACCTCTTCTCAATGACTGATAATGATGAGCAATACATTTGAAGATATAAGCACTTCCTACAAGACCATCCTGATAGCAGTTGATACTAACAGGTGCCTTAGTGAATAATTAAGTCTCATGTTACCATGAAGAATGTAGGGCAAGGTACAATCTTTGCCCCGAGAGTTATTTTATGCTCTCAATCTATTTTGCCCAGAATGGAAAATGCTGAGACAATGAAAACTCTACAATAACGAGATGATTTCTGCTTCAGCTTTTGCTGTCTACCATTTGAGTAATCTGTTTCCTGCATTTGTGACTCAGATATCATCAAGACACCAAAATCCAGTCCTCCTTTTCTGCACTGTTTACAAAACTGATCTCTCAAGTACATGATTATCTTAGGATAGAATCCTGTTAACTACAGTTTGATAAAACACATGGATGTTTATTATGTCTTTGATAATAACTAATAACCTGGGAACAGTTCCCTCACTTAAAGCAATATTATCCATATTATTTCATTTTTTACAGTTCAATATATTTTAATTTGTAAACTCTTTTTTTAAAGATTCATTTTATTTTTAAAGATTCTATTTTTAAAGATTTATTTTATTTATGTAAAAGACAGAGTTACAGAGAGAGAGAGAGAGAGATCTTCTAGCCATTGGTTCACACTCCAGATGGCCGCAACGGCCGGAGCTGCGCTGATCCGAAGCCAGGAACCAGGAGCTTCTTCGGGGTCTCCCAGGTGGGCGCAGGGGCCCAAGGACTTGGCCAGCTTCTACTGCTTTCCCAGGCCACAGCAGAGAGCTGGATCGGAATAGGAGAAGCCGGGACTAGAACACGCAGCCATATGGAATGCCGGCACTTCAGGTAAGGGCTTTAACCAACTGCGCCACAGCGCTGGCAACTAATTTGTAAAGTCTTAATGACAGTAGCCACTCGGGCATTAAAGCTCTGGGGCAAATGGTAAAACATGTAAAGACACTGGATTTTATACAATTTATGCTATTTTAATTTTTTTAACCGTCAGGCAAGTACATGTTCAGATATTAAATTAATTCCAAGGATAATTAGAAGGGAAAAGGAATCCTTTAAAACAAACTGTCAACTTATTTTTCATAGGAAAATAAAAGGCTTTAATCCTTTCATAATGAATAGCAATAAATTGAAATTATATTCAGCTCAATATAGTTTTCTAAAAGGTAAAAAAATGAGAATAACCTAACACTTCTTCAGCATATTTCTAATTTAATATACAGTTTAAAATGTTTGCTGCAGCCTAAGGCCTCCTATCCTGTTTAAACAACTGCTTCTCCTATATTAACTTCATCTTTCTAAGTATTTATTAAATCCTTCAGATTTTCTAGATCTTTTCTAATAATCTCATTTATTATTAAAATACATTCCTTTAAAGATATGAAAAATCCTGAAAACCTTTAATGAGCACAAATTTTATGTATTTAGCTGATAAAATTAAAAAAGCATAAAATATGTTCTGGGAAAATATGTGCCTACTTCTTTCAAAGACAATTTTAAAACAATTCTAAGAACCACATGTATTATTTAGGTCCCAATGAAAAAGTATACTACACCTCACTGTGTGTCAATTATGTATCATCTAGTGGAAATGAATGTTTACTTATGTCTATGGTTTCAAATAATACTCCCCTGTACCATATTTATAAATGAAACATTTTAAAAAGTGGGCTTATATATGTCGTTTTTATTCAATTTACCTTAGTGTGCCAAAATTTAAAAACTTTTGTTAATATTCATTTCAGATTAGAAGCACTTCTCACAAATTTCTAATGAGGTTAATTAAGATCAACATATAGCAAAAACACCCAATTAACTTATTAGATCTCTAAGATTTTTAACTTGCCCCACTATAGTGGGAGAATAGTAAGCTATGACAAAAGGTTTATTATTAAAGTTTTATGATGAACTTTCAGTATTTGCATTTACACCTTGAAATATTTCATTTCTGTGCAGACGTTAAGTTTAAGAACATTCCAATGTGTAGTGGATCCTACAAAGACACCAAGCATTGCTGGATTCTCGGTTTCCTCCCTAGAAGTCAGCCCTACAGATCACACACTAGGAAAAGATGGGTGTATATATTTCAGATCATAAAGGAGTGAAAAATGCTTAGGCAAAACATATGTGTTTTTGTTTTACCCCTGCCACAACTCCTCCTAAATTCCCCCCACCAAAAAAAAAAAAAAAAAAAAAAAAAAAAAAAAAATTGTACATCAACCGTCAGGACAAGAGCTGATCAAGTCACTGTTTCTCATAGTGTCCATTTCACTTCAACAAGTTTCCCCTTTGGTGTTCAGTTAGTTGCCGCCAATCAGGGAGAACATATGATATTTGTCCCTTTGGGACTGGCTTAATTCATTCAGCATGATGTTTTCCAAATTCCTCCATCTGTTGCAAATGACCGGGTTTCGTTGTTTTTGACTGCTGTATAGTATTCTATAGAGTACATGTGGGGAGCAATTCGGACTAGACTAAGTTACTGGAATTAAGACTTATTCTGTGCATCTGCTCTCCCACAATATGGCGCTGGGAGAGAAGAAAACAGCTTTTACACAGCTGCCTCCAGTTCAACCAATAAACTGTAGGACTTGCTCCTGATTGGAGAGCAGCGTACTCGGCGTGTGGGCAGCCGAGTTGGGATTGGCAGAGGAGGACTATAAAGGAGGAGAGAGACGGCATGCACCGGGAACATCTAAGGGGAACATCTGAAGGAACACCTGTGCAGCCCCCGAGACGAGCCGGCCGGCGGAGTGCCGCTCCCCTGCAGAAGTGGGGAATGTGGCCAGGGGGAACTGCCCTTCCACGGAGGTGGAAGGGATAGTAGCCAACCCGGGAAGAACCAGCAGCAAACCCGGGGAGGGCCGAGCAGACAAAAGAACAGCGCAGGGTCCTGTGTCGTTCCTCCACGAAGACGGGGAGCGACAAGTACATGTCCATAATTTCTTGACTTGAATAGCTCTTGTCCTCACGGTTGATGTACAATGTAATACTTTACCCATTTTAGTATTTTTTTTTCTAGTAACATTGGTTGAACTCTGTAATTAACACACAATTATTCTTAGGTGTTTAAATTTTAACTGAAAAGTGATCCCAGTTAGGAATTTGGAAAACATTATCTTGAGTGTAATAAGCCAATCCCAAAGGGACAAATACCACTTGTTCTCCTTGATAGATGACAACTAACTGAGCACCAAAAAGGAAACCTGTTAAAGTGAAATGAACACTCTGAGAAACGGTGACTTGATCAGCCCTCACCCTGACTGTTGATGAGCAGCTTAATATGTTATCCCTCTTAGTATTTTTATTGTTTGTTCTACTTACTACTTTCGGTTGAATACTGTAATCAATACACAATTCTTCTTAAGTGCTGAAACTTAACTGAAAAGTGATTGCTGTTAAATATAAGAGTGGGAATAAGAGAGGGAAGAGATGTGCAATTCGGGACATGCTCAAGCTGACCTTCCTCAAAGGGTAGAGTTAGAAACATACCAGGGGATCCCAATTCAATCCCATCGAGGTGGCATGTACCAATGCCATCTCACTAGTCCCAGTGATCAATTTCTGTTCACAATTGATCATAATGAAAGGACTAAGAGTCAAAGGGATCACATAAACAAGACTTGTGTCTGCAAATACTAGCTGATAGAATCAAAAAGGGAGAGAATGATCCAACATGGGAAGTGAGACACACAGCAGACCCATAAAATGGCAGATGTCCTAAACAGCACTCTGGCCTCATAATCAGCCCTTAAGGCATGCGGATCAGGCTGAAATGCCCATGTGAGTATTTCAGGCATGGAAAGCCAAGACACTCTGAGGGGAAAAAAAAAAAAAATGAAAGATCTCTGCGAGTGAGATCCCAGTGGAAAGAATGGGTCATCAAAGAAGGAGGTACCTTTCTCTGAATGGAGGAGAGTACTTCCACTTTGACCATGGCCTTGTCTAAATATGATCAGAGTCAGTGAACTCAGGGGCTTCCATAGCCTTGGCAACTCATGACAAGAGCCTAGGGTGATTACTGATGCCATAAACAAGAGTGTCAATTTGTTAAGTCAACAACAGGAGTCACTGTGCACTTACTCCTCATGTAGGATCTCTGTCCTTAGTGTGCTGTACAATGCGATTTAATGCTATAACTAGTACTCAAACAGTATTTTTCACTTTATGTTTCTGTGTGGGAGCAAACTGTTGAAATATTTACTTAATGTATGCTAAACTGATCTTCTGTATATAAAGATAATCGAAAATGAATCTTGATGTGAATGGAAGGGGAGAGGGAGTGGATAAGAG